TTGTTCAAGCACCTTGATTTGTAGCTTTGTAATGGAAAAATTACGTTTGCAGTGGTTCCATTACCATTACAGGCATAAGGACATAAAATTGTTTACCTCACTGCCAATAAACAGTATAAACTTTGTTCATATGCGCAGCATAAATACTTGCGTACCTTTGGGTTAGCGTGTGCATACATACATACACACTCATACTATATTTAGATGCGTATACACATACTCGTAAATTTGTTTGTTCTCTTCCAAATACCGGCCTTAGTGGGGGATGTTGGCATTGCCAATGTGTTGCTGCAAAATATTGATTTGCCATTAATGGCTACAGTACGCTTTCCAGTATGCACTTGTGGCAGCGCAACTGTTATCAATTTTAGCCACTTTTTTCATTGAAGTACATATAAATATATGTGTGTGTATGTACTATATACCGCCTTGACAATATTCAACTTGTTAGCTTTTTTGTCATTTTCATCTAGCTCTGCAAGATGTGACGAAGAGTAATACTGAGATAGCTCTTTTTCTTTGCATGGTGAGATAATCTCCAAATATTGTCATTGAATCGAACAAAATAGTGTAGTTCTTCTACCTTGCACTAACAACAAAAATGACGCTCTCGCAGCAATAGTACTTAATCCTATTCTTCTTTGTCCTACGCGATTGTGCGTAGGATCGGGGGCCTTGTTAAGATATAAGCAGCATTTTCTCAATATTCAAATATCTTTGAACATGTGTGCATTAGGGTGATTCAAAATTGGAACATTTTTGAATTTCGACTGAGAGCATTTGGATTCTTGAAGACAAGTTCTTCCTAAAATTTCAGCTTATTTGAATAAGATTTAGAGGTCACTCAACGCTGTTGTTTGTTTTCCAGCAACAACAGATTTTAAATGCATCTTTATAAAAAAATAAATATATTTTCATTAAATCTTGTCGGATTTCGCTGAAATTTCGTAGGTAGGTTCCCAAATAAAGGTTTATTAAGTTCGATAAATTAATTTTAAACACATTTATTAATTAGTTAATAACTAAGTTTTGCCTTATAAACAACTAAAACATCAAGCAAAAAGAATCACCGGATATACATCACGCATACGCCATGTTGAATCCAAGTGCTTTCCTAGTCATTGTAAATATTAGAATAGTATAATTATAATATTTTGGCGCTTACACCTTTGCCAAGTGTGTGGTCGAACTCCAACTCCTTCAATTTGTGATGTGCGTCTTGATGTTGTCACAAGAAGGCAGCTTTACGGCGCACAGTGTGAGATTTTGTCAATCTAGGACGCCAAAATGGGAAAAAAATGTGCTTGAAAACCGATCATATTTTGTAATTTGTAAGAATAAGTAAATAAGTAAAAGAGAATAAAGAAATGTAATTTTTTGTCTTAATCTTTATAATTTTTTTCTTCATCATCACATTTATCTTTATTACAAAGTTTAATTTCAAATACGATGTAAAACAAAATGCGAAAACAACAAACAGGTTACAACAACAACTATACGCAAATACGGAACGACGATATTAGCCGTAATTTTCTTGGTTTTGAGATCGATTCGGTA